ACGGGCTGCCCAGGAGGAAGCTCCCCTCTGGGGGTCACGCAGCCGCGGGCTTTTCCTGGGGTCCGTGTTCCGAGCAGCGTCGCGCACTCCAGGCCGGGCGTCGGGGAAGAAGCCTTTCTAAGCCCGACCACCACCGCCCTTCGCCGCGGCCGGGCCAGGAGGGGCCTGACTGCCGCCCTCCGCGGGTCTGAGGGGACCCTGACCTTCTGCCTGGTGGGCAGGGCCAGGCCTGCCAGGGAACGAAACCTGAGAGTGAATATTAACCAAGACTCGTCCGGGGCTTGGCCGCCCGTTGCCCACGGTCAGAGGAGCTGGGTGCCTCCCGTGCCAGAAGCTCTGGGCCCTGTGGCTCCAATCAGGCCCCCCCCCCGCCCGGGGCATCGGAGTAGAGATGGGCCGCAGCGCTGTGTCCAGGCCATCGTTTTACTGAACGATGGTCCCCACACGCAAAGGCTGAGCCTCGGCCGCGCAGATCGCCCCGGGGGAGCATGAGGTGCGATGAGTGGCATGAGATAGTATGAGAGAGAGACCACATTCACTCAACTGTTATTATAATGCATCATTATAATAGTTCCCTTTTACTAGTTATTGCTGTGAACCTCTCACGGTGCCTAATGTGTGCGCGTGTAGGAAACCGGCAACATAGGGCTGGTGCTCTCTGGAGTCTCAGGCGTCCACGGAGGGTCTGAATGTGTCCCCCACAGGAAAAGGGGGACCTCCGCATACACAAGGACCAGTTCACAAAGCTACGCTTCTCTGTTACACATCACATCGCACGGGCCGTAGCTCAGTGAGGAGGGAAATGAGGGGCCGTCTCCACTGAGGGCTGCTGTGCTCACCTCTCCGTTTCGCCCTGTGATGGGGGCCTGGACCCAGCAGTGGGGAAGAGTACACGGAGCCCCCTGCCGGCACGATGCTCACAGTCAATGGGGAGAAAGTATCGAATAATCACACCCCTGCAGCGAGTGACAACTGAAGGGCAGAGCCGTGTGCAGAGGGTGTCTCCCCGGGAGGGAGAGTCAGAAAGGCTGCTCTGAAGAAAGGAAACAGAATCCAAAGGAGGAGGAGGGAGTACACCCGAGGGGAGGGCGAGGGTATCGCACGCGCAGCTCAGCATGTGCAAGGGTCCTGTGGTGGCCCTGACCAGTGCGCTCAGTGGTTAGAGCGTGGGCCCTAATCCTGTGAGCACAGAAGGTCTCGGGTTCAATTCCCAGTCAAGGGCACCTACCTGGGTTGCAGGTTCGATCCCTGGCCCCCATCAGGGCATGTGCGGGAGGCAACCAATCAATGTGTCTCTCTTACATCAATGTTTCTCTCTCTCTCTCTCTCTCTCTCTCTCTCTCTCTCTCTCTCTCCACCTCCTGTGCCTCCCTCCCTTCCACTCTCTCTAAGTCAATGGAAAAGATATCCTCTGGTGAGGATTAACAACAACAAAAAGATCCCGGGGGAGGAAGAGGAATGGTACATTGAAAAGGGCAGATGCCCGGGCCCTGGCCCTGGGGCTCAGTTGGTTGGGCATTGTCCTGTGCACCAAAAGGTTGTGGGTTCGATTCCCTGTCAAGGCACATACCTAGACTGTGGGTTCGATCCCTAGTTGGGGCTCATGTAGGAGGCAACCAATCTATCTCTCCCCCCTCCTTCCTCTCCCCCCTCCTTCCTCTCCCCCCTCCTTCCTCTCTCTCCTCCTTCCTCTCTCTTAAAAACAATTTAAATTAAAGAGGGCAGAGAGCAGTGTCAAGCAGGGCACAGCCTGATGCCCGGGAGGAGGCCCAGCTCGGCTTTCCACAGGCAGGAAGCTCAGGCCCGGGGGCGAGGGGCTGCCCCAGGCCCGCAGGATGGCAGCTGGGCTGAGCCAGTCTTGTCTGGTTCCCCCTCTGCTCACGGAGCAGAGCCTTGCCAGGTGCCCGCTGCCCACACGCTCCCGCCTCTTAGCTCCACAGGCCCTGCGGCGGGCGGGCGGCCATGAAGCCCTGCCCCGAGGAGCGGTACTGGGACCCCCTGCTGAACGGCTGCGTCTCCTGCAGACCCATCTGCAGTCGCCAGGTTCCACGGACCTGCACCGCCTTCTGCAGTGAGTTCTGGCCTGAGCCGCGGGGGTGGTGGGACCCCTCCCCTCCGGCCACTGGGTGCCTGAGGGGGTTGGTGAGGATTTCTTGTGACACCCCTTCGCGCCCGTCTGCTCTGCGCACCGACCTCTGCGGTTTCCTGGACGTGCTGGGTCCTTTCCTGCCTCCGGCCTTTGCACATGTTGCGTCTTCTGCGTGAGAAGCCTTTCTCCTTCTCCCTCCTGTGGCTCTCTCCACCCGGCCTGCAGGGCTCGCCCAGTGGCAGGTCTGCTGACTGCCCATGGGATCAGGCCCCCGTCCTCTCCGGTCTTCCTTTCCTCTGACGGCCACACACAGGCACAGCACTAGCACACCATCAGCCGCTCTCAGTGGCCGCCTTTTCACTCCCCAAACAACAGTTTACGTCTGTATTTTAAACCAAACCCAATCATATCACTTACCTGTAAATGCTAGGGCAGTGATGGCGAACCTAGGACACGCGTGTCAGAGGTGACACGTGAACTCATTTTTTTGGTTGATTTTTCTTTGTTAAATGGCATTTAAATATATAAAATAAATATCAAAAATATAAGTCTTTGTTTTACTATGGTTGCAAATATCAAAAAATTTCTATATGTGACACAGCACCAGAGTTAAGTTAGGGTTTTTCAAAATGCTGACCCGCCGAGCTAAAAAGGTTCGCCATCACTGTACTAGAGCATGAATCCCTAACATATAGATAGGCCTTTAAAATAGAACTTCAGGCCTGGCTGGTTTGGCTCCGTGGATAGAGCGTCAGCCTGTGGACTGAAGGGTCCCGGGTTCAATTCTGGTCAAGGGCACATGCCTGGTTGTGGGCTCAATCCGTAGTGGGTGGGGCTCGATCCTCAGTAAGGGGTGTGCAGGAGGCAGCCGATCAATGATTCTCATCATTGATGTTTCTATCTCTCTCTCCTTCTCCCTTCCTCTCTGAAATCAATAAAAATATATTTAAAAATAATATTCTATATATATAAAAGGCTAAGCAACCATCCGACCAGCTGGTAGGTATGACGCACACTGACCACCAGGGGGCAGACACTCAGCACAGGAGTGGTTCTCGGGTGACACACCCTGGAACCAGAGAGGAGGGAGCCCGATTCTGGGGCATCAGCTGAGAACTGCCCTCTCACAACCCAGGGCCCCCTGGGGGTCAGAGCCGGTTTCAGCCCGATGCCCGCAGGCCGGGCCGAGGGACCCCGCCTGCCGGAGGGACCCCGCTCTCTCCACAGACGTCCTTTGAGCTGCAGCACCACCTCAGGGGCAGCCGGCCAGGGAGGGACCACGGGAGGTTGGCTCCAGGGTGTGTCCAGCCCCACTGGCCGCCTTTTAATTAATTTCCTTTCAATGTGCACAAATCAGTGCACCTGGGCACTAGTAAATAAATAAAATAGAACCTCAGTTTCTTGTCACCCCCAGCAATAATCCATTAATGTTGTCTGTACTCAGCCATATTCGGTTTTCTCTGGTTGTCCTGACAAATGCATTTTGCTTGCTGTTCTTTTTCATAACTTGCTCTTTTCCGTGACAGAACTTATCACAATTTGTATTATGTTCTTTTATGTGTATTTGTTTCCTGTCTGTTTCAACCCCCAGACTATGAGCTCCTTTCCTTGGCTGAACTTAGCACAGTGCCTGACACATAGTAAGTGCTTCAGAAATACTTGTTGAGTGGAGCTCAGAGAGGCTTAGTGACTTGCCCAGATCACACAGCATAATAGTGGGAAAGCCAGGAAGTGAGCCAGAACCCTCTGACTCTAAAACCATGACTGCTAACCCTGTCCATTAACTAAGTAGAACATTCATCCTGTTGTTGCGTGAGTATTCATGGAACTATCCAGCCCCTTTAAAAGAAGAGTTTCACATGACCCACAGCAGATCATCATCTCATGGAGAAATGACTGCATTTTAAGGCACAAAGAGAAAGTGCCAGAAGACGCCACATTTGGGAGAAACCAGCTCAGCTGATGGGGTGGGGGCAGGGACGTGTTCTTGGAGGAAGTGCCCCTGAAATGGGTTGTTAAGAGTTTGTAGATGTGAAAGTCAGAGGAGGGGGAACGGGACTCCTGGCGGAGCACATGTGGGGGCAAAGGCACATGGGAGACACCATGGGGAAGACCAGGCCCCGGGGGAAGGCCGGGAGGTCAGGCCTGAGGGCTGGTGGTGCGGGAGCTCGGGCACCACTGCGTCAGCCACACCAGGTCCCTGAGAGAGAAGGGGGGTCACTGAGCCCCAGAGATTGCCAGCGGGCTGACTCCGTGTCCCCAGTGCGGCGCAGAGCTCCCGGGCCGGGCAGGGCGGCCGCTGGGACTCTCAGGCCACCTGAGCCTCCGTGGGACCCAGTGTCACCACGTTCCTGGACTTTCCTTTCCTCTGTCAAGGTTGACGCGCAGATGATTACCCTACCTCACCCTCCCGTTAGCTGAGCGTGTGTATGATGTGTCCGCCGCATTCAATCCTCGCAGCGCCTTTAAAAGTCAGTGTTACTACCATTCCTCTCGGAGATGAGGAGCCGAGGCAGGTTTGGTTACGACCCCACAACCTGCCAGCAGTGGAGCTTGGCCTTGAGGTCTGCGCCGTCTTGGCTCCTCTGGAATGTGCCCTCAGACCCTCCTGTGGGCGCGGCTGCCCAGACAGGCCCTCCGGCAGCCACAGCGGAGGCTGCGGGCAGTGGAGGCCTCCGCGTGCGGGTGAGCAGCCTTCCCGCTTGGCCTCTGCCCTGGGCCTCCCTGCGGGGCTCCTGTGGTTCCCAGGCATCATTCGGACAGGAGACCCGTCCGTGCTCTGAGCTTCCCGCCTTCCTCCCAGCCTCCTCTCCCTGGTGCTGGCGGCCCTCTCCACCTTCCTTGCGAGGCTCTGTCGGAGACAGCGGGCAGTTCTCCCGGCAGAGGGAGGCGCCAGGAGAGGCTGTGGGCGTGGCAGGATGAGTCTCTGTGGCAGAAGCCGGGCCACACGGCGTCAGACAGGACAGTCCTCCCGGCGGGGG